GAGCCCGGCCTCGCTGCCCCCCAGCTCGGAACCTCAGAGTCCTCCAGCGCCCCCCCCCGCCCCGCCCCGCCCCGGCCCAGGAGAGACCCCAGGGCTCCTGGCCTCGAGATCCCAGCCCGGCTCCTGAGGCGTCGGGGCCGGGGAGGGGTCCGCTCCTCCAGCCCAGGGGCACTGGGGGCCGGTGACCCCCGGCCGGGCACCGTGACGGGCAGCCGGGCGGCGGGGAGTGGACATAAGGCGTGCTGGGCAAGGGGTGAGGCTGGAGCAGGGTTTGGCCATCAGGGTGTGACCTCCCCCTGCCCCCGACTGCCGTCTGTCTGTCCCTCTAGCCCTGCATCCGGCCAGCCTGTCGTCCTTTCCCTCCCGGGATCCAGCCATGGCTCATCCACCCTCCCCATCCCTCCATCCGTCTGCCCATCAATCCCTCCCTCTATCCCTCCAGCCATCTACCCATGCAACCCTTTCCCTCCCCATCCATCCATCCATCCCTCCATCCACCCATCCTCTACTCATCCTTGCATCTATGCATCCGTCTACCCATCCACCCCTCCCTCCATCCCTCCACCTCTCCCTCATCCATCCATCCCTGCATCCCCATCCATCTACTCACGTATCCTCCTCTATCCCTTCATCCATCCATCCACCCATCCATCCACCTACCTGCTCCTCCCTCTCTCCATCCATCCATCCATCCATCTCTGCATCCCCGTACCCATCCATCTACTTATGTATCCTCCTCTGCCCCTTCACCCATCCATCCATCTGCCTGTCCCTCCATCCATCCACCCATCCACTACCCCTCTATTCATCCCTGCATCCATCCATCCATCCACCCACCTGCTCCTCCCTCCCTCCATCCATGGATCCACCTATTCCTCCACTGGCACCCCACCCACCCATCTCTCATCTATCCGTCCATCCCTCTGTACGGGTCTAGGGGGATGGCTACATCCATCCCTCCCCATGGACACCCCCACCCCCCTTGTACATCCCCCTGACCCATACTCACCGGGGTAGAAGTCCTTGGATTTGGAGAGCTTGATGGTGGCCCCCGTCTCCTTCTGCAGCTGCACGATAGTCTGCCCGCCCTTGCCAATGATGGAGCCGGCCGCGTAGCTGGGGATCAGCACCTTGAGGAAGTACTCGCCCTCGTCTGGGGGCGCGGGGTCATCAGCACCAGGGCAGGGGCCGCACAGCCCC